GACTCCGCCTGTCATCCGGGGTTTACAAAATATACCTAACTCTATAAACCAGAAAAAGCTTTTACATGTCTGGAACAAAGGTCCATAGCCTTTGTCTGCTCTTGAGATGCATTTAGATGTTTCCAGCAATGGTAAACCACGTGAAACCTAAAAGATTAAAAAAATAGGCACTGGGGGCTTCAATTCCCATGAGGTCTCTACTTGCATGGTGTGCGTTTCCTTCCAAAATCCCATAAACTACTCGTAGAATAAGGTTTTAGCAAACGTCCTTGAGTAGGGTGTATGTGTCATGTATGACTATAGTAAGCACAGTGGAGTATAAGCTCCTTTGGTGCTGGGGACTGATATTAGCGCTGTGCATTAAAGAAATAAATAAACTGATGCAATTGCATCTAGCTCATCAGATATCCAATGGAAGTTCTCATTCAATGGAAACATATTTCCGAATATTGCACTAGAGCTGCAGCTAACGATTATTTTCAAAATCGATTAGTTAGCCGATTATTAAGTTCGATTAATCGGATAAAAAATAATATACATTTTAAAAAATGGCTCCAGTGATGGACTACTAGTTTGTATTGAGTGTAGTCCATCACAAGAGCAAGCGTGGAGCGGTGGAAATAAAGAAGAAAACAAAAGTGTGGTATGCAATTGAGGAGATGCGGCGTGTGGAGCGTGGATGTGGGCGGGTCTGGAGGTGCCGATTAATCGAAGATTGAAAAAGTTGACAACTTTTTCAATCATCGATTATAATCGATTATGTCGATTAGTTGTTGCAGCCCTATATTGCACTATAGACTACAGTCCTGGCCAAAAGTTTTGAGCATGACACAAATATTAATTTTCACAAAGTCTGCTGCTTCAGTGTTTTAAGATCTTCTTGACAGGTGTTACTATGGTATACAGGCAGTCCCTGGGTTACGGATGTCCGACTTACGGACAATCCGTACTTACGAACCGGGGTCCACAGTTCTCCTAAATGTACAGGCAGCTGCCGATACATTTAGGAGAACTGTGGCTGCAGTGGCCTGTGTCCCTTCAAATCCATGCTGCTCTACCCGCCTGTGTTGGCGGAGGCAGCGGGGACACAGACCGCTGCATTGCGCCTCTGCCCCCCGTACCTCCGCTGCTGTCCCGGCATCCTCTTCCCCCGTTCTGTCGGCTTCTCTTCCCCGTTCCGGCCGATCCTCCGCTCCCCCGTCCTGCCGCAGTTCCTCTGTCCCGCCCCCCTGCTGCCTCTATCTGCAGGCTGGGAGCCATACCCAGCCTGCTATTGGACATTGTAAAATGCAATAGCAAGCTGGTTATTGCACCCGCCCACTGCTTGCTGTCAATCAGCATGGGAGGACCTGATAGAGCACTTTCTCCTTCAGGCCCCTCTGCTGATTGGCAGTGGGCAGATGCAATAGCCAACCTGCTATTGGCTATTGCAATTTGAAATATCCAATAGCAGGCTGGCTATTGCTCAGAGCATTAAAATAAAAATAAAATTTAAAAAGACAAAAAAAGTAGTTTATAAAATTTAAAAATAGAAAAAATCTTTTTGGTGTCATATTTTAAATAAAACATTTTTTTAAATTTTATATTATCTTCTGAACAACAGGAACAGACAGCAAAACAAATGTGACCCTTCCCTATGCTATCAAAAATGAAGACATTTTTTTTTGCTGGAGTTACACTTAAAAAATTTACCTGTTCCAACTTGCATACAAATTCAATTTAAGTACAAACCTACAGTCCCTATCTTGTATGTAACCCGAGGACTGCCTGTACTGAAGTATATTTACAAGAATTTTGAGAAGTGTCAAAGGCTTTTATTGACAATTGCATTAGGTTTATTTGCAGTGTTGACCCTTCTTATTCAGGACCTCTCCCCGGCATGCTGTCAATCAACTTCTGGGCCACATCCTGACTGGCAGCCCATTCTTGCATAATTATTGCTTGGAGTTTGTCAGAATTTGTGGAGGATTTTATTTTGTTCACCCGCCTCTTGAGGATTGACCACAAGTTCTCAATGGGATTAAGATCTGGGCAGTTTCCTGGCCATGGACCCAAAATTGCAATGTTTTGTTCCCCAAGCCACTTATCACTTTTGCCTTATGGCAAGGTGCTCCATCATGCTGGAAAAGGCATTGTTTGTCACCAAACTGTTCTTGAATGGTTGGGAGAAGTTGCTCTTGGAGGATGTACCATTCTTTACTCATGACTGTGTTCTTAGGCAAAATTGTGAGTGAGCACCCCGCTCCCTTGGCTGAGAAGCAACCCCACACATGAATGGTCTCAGGTTGCTTTACTGTTGGCATGAAATATGACACAGGACTGATGGTAGCGCTCACCTTTTTTTCCGGATGCCCCAATTTTCCGGATGCCCCAAACAATCGCAAAGGGGATTGTTCAGAGAAAATGACTTTACCCCAGTCCTCAGCAGTCCCATCCCTGTACCTTTTTCAAAATATCAGTCTGTCCCTGATTCTTCTTGGCTGCACTTCTTGACACCAGGCCATCCTCCACAGTGCCTCAATGTGCATGCAGATGCACTCACACCTGCCTGCTGCCATTCCAAGCAAGCTTTGCACTGGTGGTGCGCCGATCCCGCAGCTGAATCAACTTTACGAGGCGGTCCTGCCGCTTGCTGGACTTTCTTGGGCACCCTGAAGCCTTCTTCACAACAATTGAACCTCTCTCCTTGAAGTTCTTGATGATCCGATCAATGGTTGATTTAGGTGCAATCTTAGTAGCAGCAATAACCTTGCCTGTGAATCCCTTTTTTGTGCAAAGCAATGATGACTGCACATGTTTCCTTGCAGGTAGCCAGGGTTACCAGAGGAAGAACAATGATTTCAAGCACCATCCTTCTTTTAAAGCTTCCAGTCTGACAGATTGGCCCAGGTGGCGATTACTCCAGCCACACAGTTAAGTGTAGATGGAAGAATCTGTTGCACCTTTTCCATCTGACCATAGAAAATCTGCAAATAATTGTAAGGTTTATGGCCACCTTTTTAGAATAACAGTCAGCATTGCAGAGAGGTCTCCAGCCTTGTCCTCGACAACACTGACACCTGTGTTAACGAGAGAATCACTGACATGCCAGCTAGTCCTTTTGTGGCAGGGCTGAAATGCAGTGGAAATGTTTTTTGGGGGGATTAAGTTCAATTTTATGGCAAAGAGGGACTTCTCAATTAATCTGATCACTCTTCATAACGTTCTGGAATATATGCAAATTGCCATCATACAAACTGAAGCAGCAGACTTTGAAAATCAATATTTGTGTCATTCTCGAAACTTTTGGCCAGGACTCTACATACGGCTGTTTTGCCGTCTTGGTATATTTTTTTATAGAGGGGTGAATGAATTACCGTGGAATTCAGGAGCAAGTCTGTGCAATCTAGGTGCCAACAGGATTTCATTTACAACAACTAGAGTAAACCCTAAAAGTTGGGCGCTATCTGTAAAATTTAAGAAGCGTTGGCGACTTGGCTCCTGGGATTTTTTTCAGCCCTGCTCTTCGATTTCTGATTATTATTTAATGTAATTTGTTTGGCATTCGTTTAAGGTTCAGCTCCAGTCTAAAAAACTTTTCTACACTTTATAAAAGCAGAGATGCTTCAATCTTATTTTGCTGGGAGGGCTGCAGAATATGCAAATAAGTCAATCTCGCCAATATTTTGTGGCCGTCCTAGTCAGAGGTTGCTGTGTCTATTGCTATCTGAAACCATTTAGGCCCGGTTCACACCTAGGCGTATCTAATATGCGTGTTTGTTGCACGATTCGCGGTAAAAAGAAACGTGCGCCAAACGCGCGTTTCCGAGGGCTACTTGGCTGTATCCCAATGGAAACGCGCAACAAAAACGCCCAAAGAAGCTCCTGTACTTCTTTTGGGCGTTTTGTAGCGCGTTCATACGGCCTGTTATACGCCCAGGTGTGATCCATACCCATAGGAAATAATGGGATTTCGGTGTTTGAGCGTTTTGCAGAGCGTAGGAACGCGCTACAAAACACCCAGATGTGAACCGGGCCTTACAGTTGCGACAAGCTGATAAGGTGTTATTGCTGATTGTTATGAATTCATGTTCTTATACAATTGTTGGAGAAGCAAGGGCTTCATACAGTTTGTTTGTTTTTCTTGACCATTTGCATTTAGTAGTGTTTTGTTTTTTTTTTCCTTCAAAGTGCTTGTTGACACCATTTTCCATTAAGCTGTGTTTGTTTTCATTGCCGCTTAGTATGGTGTGAACAGGACATGGACATACATGATGTTTACATCATGTATGTGCCAGTGGTGTGCAAAAAAAATGCAGCTCAACGAACATGGAGTGATCGAGCCCCAAGGCTCCTTTCACACGGCCTGATCAGGAGGGGATCCATGCACAGATCTCCTCCTGAATCGAGCGCTACGGATTGGATGTCACCACTGGGACATCTGTGTCTGTCCAATTTTTTTTTCCCAGAAAACTAAAATGACCATCAGATTGCCCCCAATCTGGCACCATTGTGTCTGTCGAAACGGAACTGTTCCATTTGTTTGGACCTGGTTCTGAACCTGGCCAGAGTCGGGGGTAACTGGGTGTAAACAGACGCCCATTAATTTAGACCCAGATGCCCGTAGACTTTCATTGGACATCGAATCAGGTCTGCCGGAAAAACTAGCAGGCGTAGGCGATCGGGACAGGCCGTGTGAAAAGGGACTATAGAATTCAATGTGTCTGACTCGGCGGTAGTCAGCCACTAGCTGGATTGGGTAATTGCCTTCTCATGTTTGAGTTTCTTTCAGTTGGACTTTTATAAATAAAATATGTCTGTCAAAAGCCTCATTATGACCCAGATGCACATGAAGCATGCTATGTAATGTTTTGAATGAATGAAGTCTAGGAACTTGCTGCGTCACCTAAGTGCCATGTGCCCCAATATTGTGCCTATGTCCATTAATAAAATTGCCAGTTTCTACTTTTGCCTTTAATTCTTCCTGTAAACGTTTTTCAATTCCCTTTTTCTTAGCGTCTCCGTTACTGCTGTACGCCAACCGGCGTGACCTGCGGTTGGCGGATGCCGGAGGAACAAAGGGGAACTCTACCGTGGTGGTCAGCGGCCTGGAGGACGCAGCAGCTGTGGACTTTGTATTTTCTCGAGGCTTAATTTATTGGAGCGACGTGAGCGAAGAAGCCATAAAGAGGATTGATTTCAACAAAACTGGGAGCAATCAGGATGTTGTCATATCGGGGCTGGTATCGCCAGACGGACTGGCTTGTGATTGGTTGGGAGAGAAACTGTACTGGACAGACTCTGAGACAAATAGGATAGAAGTCTCCAACTTGGATGGCTCTTTACGGAAAGTAATATTCTGGCAAGAACTGGATCAACCACGAGCAATTGCCCTGGATCCTGCCAGAGGGTAAGTGAGGATTAAAATAAATGTAAAGGGCAAAAAAATAATATATCTATTTAGAGGTTTATGTGTCTCTCTCTCTCTCTCTCTCTCTCTCTCTCTCTCTCTCTCTCTCTCTCTC